TTCAAATTTGACAGGAAGACAGAGTAGCATCAAAGGCACGGGACATTAGGAAGCGTTTGCTTTATGTCCGCTGCCCTTTTAATTACTTCGTGACGTCATTATTTAGAGTTAATTTTCAAGATTTATTTTATAAAGCTATGGAAGTAAATGCGTACGTAAATCTTTCTTAATTTTTCCCCTGAAGTTAATTATAACAATAAATTTAAAACTAAGCCAGAACTAAATTGCATCTAATCAGGCTTCACACATATTTTTATATGATAACATTTATTTTATAAAGATATTGGAAGTGAACGAGTAAGTAAATTTTTTAGTTTTTTTTCCACACCGAAGTTAATTATGACAATAAATTTGAAGCTCAATCAAAACAAGATTGCATCTAATCACGCTTTACATATATTTTTATATGATTATGTTTTAGGTGGTTTAGGAGAACAAAGATTGAATTTGCCACCCAGCCGGGATAATATGGTTAGGGACTCTGGCTGCTGTATCGAAGGCCCCGGGTTCGAATTCCAAATAAAGCGTAGATGTTTTGTAAATGTATATTATCTGTGCATTGCTAAAAAAGTTGAAGCTCTGTTTTGGAATTACAATACTGATTTTATGCTTTCGCATAAATTTATTGCTGTGATTTTGATAAAACCATGTCTGGGATTAACATTAACACATGCTTTCATTTAAAAAAAATACCTAAATTAAGAGCTAGTTGGATTTTCTTTTTTTCTCATTAAGCAAGAGCCCATTGAGTAAATAAATTTTTTATTGAATTTAATAAGAGAAGCGTCTAAAATTTCAGATGTGTAGATCCAAAATTTCAGATTTGTACAATATATCTCAAGGCATGCAGAAATAACTGAAGAAAAAATATTGATATTTAATAATTTTAGGAAATAAAATTTTTAAATAATTAAAAATTTTATTTAAGAATACTTTAGTAATATCTTTTTTTTTTTCAAATTGTGTTTGCAATTCCTTATTAAAATATAATTTGAATACAGATGGTGAATAAGTGGTATTTACAATTTTATTTATTTCGCATTTTTGAAAATTCAGATTTTTAAAACATTGCAATAACTTGTGTTTTGAAATTAATTATGATATACTTTATATGTACTTTGATTTGTCTTCTTGATAAATATGGGCTTGAAATTTCGATAGAATTTCTGTTAAATCGGTTAATTTTACAACTAATATCTTAAAACTGATTTTCCTTCATGCTTGGTGTTTATTGAAGATCCTATTTTAAAAAGGCTAAGAGATTGTGTTTTGTATTTAAGGAAGAGATTTGACATTTTGTTTCGCACATGTTACCATGCATTTATGGAATTATCATTGACATTTGTAGATATCTTTAAAAAAATTTAAATTAAGAATTAATTAGATTTTTTTTATTAAGTATAGGCAACAAAATGTTTTATGAAATCTTATAAAAGAATAAGAATTCAAAACACTGCACTATACGTCAAGGAATGCAGAAAAAATTTACTTTTATTAAAATCTGCTTCTGATTCTCTGCTATAATATATAATTCAACCACAATTTTTACTGTGCATTTGAAAATAGGGAAAAAATGGAATATATTATTTTGCTTTAATTACGTAACGTAAGCGTAAAAAATAAGTATGTTATTATGTTATAATGATTTTCAATCACGATTGGAACCAATATTTCCACTTCAAATGTTTTTATTTCATTTTTGCATGCTTTTTGGCGAATTTTTCTATACCTTAAGAACATAATTAGGCATAATAACAACTGTAAGTGTTAATGAAATAATATAGCAGCGACCACTCACAATATATTTTCTCACAATGCTTTCCTAGTTGTTGGTATATTATATTTTTTTTTCTTTTCTTTTATATTAAAAAACAGCCGTCCTCAACCTACCTTGACCTCTGAATTGAAAACTTAGAATTGCTTCTGTGTGCATCTGCTAGAAACATTTTTTAAGAAATTCCTTCCCTCTGTTATATAGAACGTTCTGCACTATTACACTGAACGCTTTCCACAATAAAAGGATGAAAAATACTTAAGAAGACTGTAATAATAATAAAAAAAGAGCTGTGTGAGTCCATTAAAGCCAAATTCTTTTGTTCGGTTAAAAGGAATGCTTAGTGAATTGAAAACAGCTTGATTACTGTAATTTTCTTCTTGTAAGTGTATATTTGATTGTCAAAATCTCGTTGTAGTAAAAGACAAAAAACTGCAAAATATGTCATTTCTCGTTATAAACTGGGAATTCTGGAATTTTAGAGATTTTTTATATTTAGATTTCGCTTAAAAACCCTTAAATACAGTCTTAAATAAAACTTGTTAATTAAAAACAAATTTTTGAATCTGAATGCTCCGTTTGATGCTATGCCAAAAATGTTCACATTGGTTTTAGGTATTTTGAGAAAATTATTCAATTAACACTTTAAAGTGATTAATTTACCATGTGTTCTTTACAAAAATTGTATCTTGAACAACTAGTCTCTATTTTTAAAATTGTAGGTTATTCAACAATAATTTACTAGTATTTTTCCGCCTGGGTAGTCATTAAAATTGAAAAAATAAACCGGAATATTATGAATGATTATATTTCTTGTCGACATTGAATTTATTCTTTATATTTTTGCATATCATTTGTTTTGTTTATAATTTAGCATTTTGTTATCACCTCTAGATAACATTTAAAACTTTTACGTCGAAGTGAATGCCTTTCTAAATGATTGTTCTGTAACTATTTATGCATATAACTAAGTAACTTGTAATGTATTTATGTTACTTAACCAGTCTTTTATGTTCAGAGCTTATACTCTCACTTCTATTTTCCCGTTTTCAAACTGGAATGCATATTTTAGCTCGCGTGTACTTAAGTGAGGGTTTGAAATTGTTTCAGTCAGAGCGTGTTCCACCCGTTGAATGTCACGTTACTAGTTGATATTCTACGAAAGCATTCCTGCGTACGGTGTTGCTTTATTCTTGAAGTTTGCGTTGTCATGCCAGTCTAGGTTAGACAGCTTGTGTTTAATTAATTATCTTTGCGTAGTCTTTGGCTAATTTCTACTTATATTTAGTTCAATTTGAATTAATTCTAATTTCTAGTCATAAATCTTGGCTGAGTTTCTTAAAACCAGGAGTTCCTTCTATTCAACTAATTTCAGTTCCTAATAAAAGGGTCTTTTACAGACACAGAGATAAGTCGCTTAGCTCTAAATCGAAGTCTTGACTTAGTTACCAAATAAGTAGTATGACTTAGTGTATGTTACAAATAATTAAACGAAACAAGTGAGACACTACAAAAGTAATTCAGATATGCCTTACTTAATTCCTTGCAAAAGAGCTGCGAACCGATTATCTTTAAGCTAGTCTTGGAAACCAATCTTGAGTTGTCCGATAAACTACTTAGTCAACAGTTTTTAATAGATCGGACATTTAGCCAACACGTCATTCAGGCAACAGGACATTGACTGGCATGTGCATTTAGCCGAAGGGACATTTAGCCACGTCTGACCGACAGCATATTTGGCCGACATATCCTTTAGTCGACTCGGATATGCGAAACTGTTTTATAATAAAAAGTATCTGTACTTAGGCGAAAAAGGTCCTGGATGAGGAGGTAAATGTACAAATACCCTATTTCCCTCCGTTATTTAATGTTGTAAAAATACATATAATACATGATATTGTTTACAAATAATTAAACAAATTAAATGCACGTGCCGATTTAATGGGTGTGTAGACTAAATGTCTTGTTCGGTAAATGTCCCTTTGGTTACACCGACGAGTCAACAAAATGACCTGTCAGCTAACAGCTGTTGGCTAAGAATTCGCAGTAGAGATTTTATAATATTGTATTCATTTCATGATAAATGAATAAATATGTTCTTTTTTAAAATATACAGATGCGTAAAATTAAAATTTTTATACATTTCTTCTACGAACTCAAATTCATACAGAAAAATGTGTATTTAGTTGGGTCTTATCCTTCTAACAATCTTTATACATAGATCTGTATTATGCAAAAGCATCTGAAAAAAATCATTTATCAAAATTATATATCACGTTCCCCCGAAGAAAAGACTAATCCAGAATTAAGAAAAAAAATTGGATTTCTTTAATGGGAAAAAAAAAAAAAAAAAAAAAAAAAAAGAAATTTTTACAAATAGGAATTTGTAATCCATTCTTGTATTTGCAAGACCCTGCACTGCAAGAGGTAGCTTCCAAAAACTTTTATCTGAAAATTTTTATTTTTTTCATTTTTAAGTTATTGTGTGCAGCATAATCTGTATAATGTTCCAACATTTCTCGCTAAAAAGCATATTTCATAGTATTTTGGGTAATTATTTTCAGTTAGACAGCGGAGGATTTTCTTCTTACAGTAATTCGGTTGCGAGAAACATTGTCCATATTGAATTCGTTTTCTACATGCCGCATTATACAAATTAAAATTTTGTTTACTAAAACTTTTCCCCCATTTTACCAAAAGTTACCACTTTTGCATTTTTGAAGTCTATTTTATTTTATTCATTTCTTAAAGGGAATTATAGGTATCATCTAACAGTTTAAAACTTATTTAGCACTGCAATAATATTGAAACAGTATAGTATAATAAGAACTGTGAATGCATCTGTTTAAACTCACATCTTACAGGCGTGTTTAAATACAGTTATTCGGGATAACTTTAAAGGGGCGGAAAATTGCATTTTTCAAAATTGCTGAAATATTACATACACCCTGAACCCCATCATACACCGAAATCGATAAGTACGATCTAACTTATTTATGGATGATTTTGTTACTTTATTTACAGGTTTTCATCTCCATAACATAATGAATATTACAAAAGTAATTTTCCCCCTAATTATATTTACCTTGATTTCATGAAGAAAAATGATCATAGGAAAGTTTACGTTTTTAATAAAGATCGATATTTCTTTAAACTGTAAACATTTTGAGAGTTTCTTTTGTACAATTTTGTGTTATTTGATTTAAAGCTTCATTACAAAAGCCAGTCAGACACCACTAAACAGCTTTATTAATTGAAAGTTTGACAAGAAAACATTCCATTGAGAACAATTAGAGATGAAAAATCAGTCAAAACATATGACAAAAATAGATGATTGAAATATTTCTTAGGTAAACACATAGACTGGGAGTCTATTTGAAAAGAAGATGATGTCTGAAGCGAGGAATGAAGATCCAAAGATTAACAGAAATTTTCGAGAAGTACCTGAAACAAAAAGAAAATTTCAGTTATAAAATTAATTTAGACGTTTTGTGACTAACAAATATCTGAAATAAATTAGTTAATTTGGTATAATCATGTACTAATTGAAAATTAGTACATAACTGGCTTTAATTATTTTCCTTAATGTGATATCAATCGTTGATTTAAGTTCGAGATATTACTCCTTCCTTAAAACAACTTTCTAAAAATTCTGACTGTCTTGTGTCTAATATTAAAAAATATCTTTACCCAATCTAACACGTTATGTTAAAAGACATTATGTTTCTTTTGCCTCATAAATTTAGATTATTATAGATTTAGATTACTTAGATTTAATATTTATCTACTTCTGTGTAGGACACTATCAGTATACGAAGCTCATGCATGTGAAGCCGTCTTGATTTCAAACACTTCCTTATCTTTGTAAAACATCTTCAGAAATGCTTAGGATTGCGTTGCATGGAAGGGCATCTTATATTCAGATCACTACAGTAATTAACTTTTAATTAAATGATATTTTTTTCTCGAAGATCTCAAGATAAAGCCTTTTTCAAAGGAACAAATAGCATACACGATAACCGGATGTTGTAATCTTTACTTTCGTACTTAATGAAATGCATCAAAATAACCACAAGTAAATGTTTCATTTTAATTGCTTATGACTGTTAAATTTTAAGATATACTACTACTGGCTAAGAACCTATACCGAAGCCATTTTTAAGCCCTACTTCTAATAGATGTAATTTACCTTAACTACCACAGAATATATTAGAATGACTACGAGCCTAGTTTAAATTTATAATAATTTCAACGAGATTTAATATTTTTTTTTCTCTCTCCTAAGCCTAATCAATATATTTCTCTAGCTACAAAATTCACCAAGTTTAAGCATTTGGATGAAATTGTACATAATGCCTTCAAGAACTTGTTTTAAGAGAAAATCTGAAATATCATATTATATTTTAATTAAAAAATTAATAAATGGAAATAAATAATACTCGAAATCTTTTATATGCGTCATAAAATCTAACGGGAGGGGGGCTACGGAGTGCTAAAATTTTCATAATGCTTCCATTTCAACTATGTTCTGCATTTAGTTTTGTATTATTCTAGTATTCTGAACTATTTAAAAATTATCCTAATTTACTCGTTCTTTTGTTCTTTCCCCCGAAATAATAATTTTGTTATAATGCAATTTTGGGCTTACTGATGTTATAATAAATTTGGCAATAATGATGTTCTTTGAGAATACGTTAGAATAACAAATAACTGTAAACCTTTTCTAAATTAATTTTATTATATCCAATTTATTTTCCTCTAAATATTTAATTTCAAAAATTAACCATTAAAAATTTTTTAAAAGTTAAATTAAATATTCCAAAGTTTTTCGAGATGTGTTTACATATAGAAGATTAACTGCAGTTTAGATCAAGGCTTCCCAAAGAAGATTCCCTGAGAATCGATGAAATTTTAAAGAGAGTTTATGACCATTAGTTGATGGTCGATAACTGTTTGTGGTCGATTGGGCGTCGATAGCCGAATATGCACTGAAATAAAGAAATATGATCAATAAACTTGATAGTTAATTATTTATTTATATAAAGCTGTATCATGTAGTATAGAAAAATGCCATATAAAATATATAATTTATAAATATGATATATAAAATAAATATATATATTGAAAAATCTAACATTTTTTAATATATTTTAAAAATCAGTAATATTTTTTAATTATGTAGATTTATTATGCAATAAGTGCAAAATAAAAAAGCAGAAAGCAAGAACATAACAAAACACAGTAAAAAAAATACGAACGCAAAACCAGATTGGTGAACAAAAAACAAGTTAAACATTTTTGAACGAGATGATTTAATTATTAAATCAAACAATTTTATGCCAAATTTTAAAAACACTGCATGAGTGCATCAAATGCAGCCATCATATTAATAAAATCGAACTTTTGTGCTATTAGAAACTGCGAGTTTCTTACTGGAAACTTGATTATATTTGTGTAAAATTAAAAATGGTAAAATATAAATCTAACAAACTGTGTTTTTTTCATATATATGGAGAGAATATATCCATATATAAAGGTTTTTAAGATATAAGAGATTTATTATATTTTTCCATAGATAGAAGAAAATATATATTATATTATAGAGAAAAACTATATATTATATATTACAGAGGAAAATGCGAGGGGGGTCGATGAAGAAAACCATTCCTTTAAAAGGTTTCGATGCAAGAGAAAAAGGTTGGGAATCCCTGATTTAGATGAAGATATCAAAAGATGCTGCCGTTTTATAAAGTTAGGCTTTAGGTAAATTTAAGTATTTGTGTTTGAGAAACTATGACTAATGCGTATAAAATTCTGTAAATAAAATTTCAAATGTCAGTACAGTGATAAATTTAATAGAGGTCATATCATAAGAAATAATTTTTTTTGCTTTTATTTCTGCGTGAATGCAATAAATGTGTCTTTAGAATAAGTATACTTACTTTTAAACATGCACGGGTGAAGAAGGATGCTGGTTGGATGCATCTCTTTTAGAACGCACTACATCATCATACGCAAAATTCTGCCTTGAGTTCTGAAATTCTGCATCATTCAGCTCTAGCAGCTGTAAAGGAGAAAAATTTTGTGTCATGTGATATCATTTAAATATATATGTTGTAAAAGAGGCTGAAGAAAAATTAGCATTTTAAATAATAAGAATGAACATATCAAAAATTGAAATTTGGATATTTAAGCTACATGAACAAGATAATCAGCCTGTTTGAAGAGACCGAATATCTGAATTTTTCACTTTAAATATTTTATGAATTGTCGTTAAAAAAAAGAAAGTAATTAAGAAGCATCTTTTTTAAACATTTTCTATTTAATTTTTTAAACATTATTCTTTATTTTTATGCGCAGGAAACACTGAAATTTTTGAGACAGAGCCAAATAACACTCACTAAAAAACAATTATTGTTATATATGTGAATATGAATTCTTTCGTAACTGCAGACAATAATTTGTGGCAATAACTGCAGTCTATGTATAACTTTTGAAGGAAAGGAAAATGGAGCCGACTCTAGAACTTTATCACGCGTCTATGAGTTTAGAATGAGGCTAAATTAAGAAAAATGCCTTCAGTGTTTACAATTGGATTATGGAAATAAGCCAATTGTAAATACTGTATTTCGAGCTATATTCAGATGGTTTATAGAAATTCGCAGAGATCGAAATTCTTTTTTGGTTGAAAAACATACAGGAAGTCCTTTGTCAGCTAAAGTTCCAAGAAATGTTTCGGCTATTGTTCACCAATAATAATCGCTGTG